TCTTATATATTATAGTTAAACTAGTTGCTTCATGATTAAAACCAGTAAGACAATTGCCACTCACTGGTTTAATTGAGGGCACAAGGAAGAGGTTGAGGACTAAGTAGACTAAAGAGACAGAATGTCTCCTTCACACAAAGAAACAGTTGCTCCACTCCCAGATTCAAGAATATTAGTGAGATGATGGGGTAGAAGCTGGCACCGCCAACTTCCATCCTGAATCTGTTTTGTGGCTGTAGAGTATGTTTTGTTTCCATGGCTGTCTAGCTGGAGCCTTTCACAAGCACAGAATTTTCTGGATATTTTTTTTAATGAAGGTGGAAAAATATGGTAAGTGATATAATGATCCTACCAGATGGTACAATGAGACAATAAAGTAGATGCCTAGAGGGACCAATATTGGCCTTGCCAATGTGTTTTGGCCTGAAAAAAGGCCTGGAAAGATATTGGTGGCAAAACTGGTGTTAAGCAATGGCTTCCCAAAAAATGTTCACCTAATAAAAAAAAAAAGAAAGAAAGGAATCAAGAATGGTGAAGATATTTCCAAAAGCAAAAATCTGCATTATTAAAGGCTTTCCACTCTTCCACTAACCTCCTTTTCAAAGGCCACTGTGTTTATCATCCATGAGTCTTTCTCGCACATTGTTGCAAACTTGACACACAGCTTTGCATAGCTTTAAGAGAGGAGCAGTAGATACTAAGCTCTCCATGAAAGGAACAGAAGAGTGGAAAATTGGGTGCCTGCCATGGCAGGTTGTTTCAGTTCCATGCAACATGAAGTATTTATGGTTTTTATTGACATGGGGGAAGCAGCTACAGAAATAATTCCAGAGAGAAACGTACCTCGTCCCAGCAACGTGCTTTTGCTTTCAAAGGATTTCCGCAATAGAGTGTTTTGGTGCCTTCCGTCGTTAGACTCCTGGAATTTCCATTTTGTGGGAAACCTTGACATTTCAATTTTTTCCACAAAATGGGTCTGATGTGAAAGGTTTGATTTTTTGAACTGCTGACATGCTATTTCTAAAAGACGGTAGGGTCCTCAGGATTCTAGAAGCTGCTGACATCCTTCAGTGAGCATCATTTGCATCAGTGTTATGGCTTTCAGCAGTGGCATAGAAGCCATGTGGTTGACCAAACTGTTGGGTGCCCACTCAATTGGAGCGGTGACTGGACATGCTGCCCAGACCAGCCATTTCGTTTCTGTTATTCAGGGCTGGGCAACAATGAAAGTGACTTGAATCATGTCAGCTTTGATCAGTAGCTACTAGGGTTTCCAATGGCATGGGCTCGGAGGCAGCCCTGCTACATAGATTGTTCTAAAGTGGAAGATCCCAGGGTTCCTGGCTCCATAAGAGGGATCCTGGAAATTGTAAGAGCCCCCAGGCTCCAGAACCTGAGATCCCTTGAGGGTCTTAAGAGCCAGGCTTCTAGATCTGCCCAGTTCCTAACTGGTGGGACTGCCCTGGAACTGTGGACTGTGGAAATGCTGGGGAAAGGCTGAGGAGCTGGGTGGCTGAGTTGGCAGGACACCAGGCCAGTTTTTAAATCTTCCGCTACCCGTGTTCAGTTGGAAAATTCATCAAAAGCAACATTTCCATGCAACATCTCACCTGAGGTGCTTCAGCATTTGCCAGCAGGAAAAAAAGTCCACTAGAAACACTTCTGCCTAGTTTTCTTACTGTTATTAATTTGGATTGTGGGAGAGGACTGGGAGAATCTTCCTGGGAAACTCACAAGCAATGCTTTACCCAAGGAAGCCCCATAATCAGCCCCTTCCACACAACTGCAAGACCTAAAACACTGAGAGCACCTTGTACCATGATTTCAGGAAAAGCAAGGGAATTACCTGGGCAACATGTAAAAGCTGTAGTCAAAACTTAAATCATATGGTGCTAGATAAGGTGCACAGAGAGATAAGGTGCCTTCCCTAGTAGCTTATAATCTAATTTGAGACACGATATAAAAAAGAGATGTGATGAGCAAAAGAGAATACAGAGGGCAAGAGTAAAGAAAACTGGATATTGAGCAGACATATGTATCTGTAGTGCCATGGGATGGTTCCAAATAATATGCTGTATTTATTGATGTATTGATCTTATTTTAACCACAAAAAAAATCATATCTCCCGACTGATGAACAGATGAGCCGCAGGTAACTGGCTGATTTCCTATAGGTCCCACAGCAAAATAGAGCTTGAGGATTGATTTGTAAGGGTTAGCAAAGGCTGATTTCTGAAGATGGTTGTTATTTATTTATTTATTTATTTATTTGATTAGCATATGCAGTTTCGGCATATTGTTTCAGCCATCTTAAGGCGATGTCATCACCAGCACGAAGAGCTTGAAGGCCACCAAGTAGCACAGGAATGGACACAAGTCAACAATGTGGGACATGGTTTGAACACAAGGACATTTGCTGTCATTGTGAAGGCCCCATTGATATAGGTTTGAGGCACAGTGACCCTGTCCAGTTTGAAAACAGTTGAGAAGTACCCAATAACAATATGGCCAGTTAAATCCTGGTTGACTGTAGGGTCAGAGATGATGTGGTGATTGATTGGTGCTTGTGCTAACCGTTCTTTGTGCCATTGAGTAAGTAAGGAAAAGTCAAAGGGTTTTGAAAGGGTGGACCATAGTGGACATCTTAAGGGGAGCAAGCTAGTCGTGGGTGGAATATATCCCAATTCACTGGCAGCATAGGATTATCACAGACAGGGTCATCCCTATGGGGGGGCTAATTGGGGTGACTACCCCGGGTCCCATGCTTTGGGGGGCCCTGTGGACAGTGCTGTACAGACCCCACCGTGGCTGCCACACACTGCTGGCTCCGCACTCCAGCCACTCATAACCTTCCTCCGCACTCCGGGCGCTCAGCCCCATTTCTCTGCCCCCTGCTCCAGCCCCTCAGCACCCCCACTTCTCCCCCCCACTCCAGCCATTCAGCACCCCCTGGCCCCACACAGGCTGATATGCCCTGGGCCCCGCACACCCCTAGGGACGGCTCTGATCATGGAGTGTGACTAGTAAGTTTACTTCAGCATTTGTGTGGCAGAGATGAGGGGAAGCAATGTTGCTGAGGACTGGTAACCATGGGAGTGCAATGGGGTGCAATGTGCCTGACACAAGATGCACTGTAGCTTGCAGTTGGGTGTCCACTCGTTTGCTGTGTGTGAACGAGCCCATGCAGTGGGCCCATGCAGTGCAGCTCAGTAACACAGTGCCAGAGCAGATGAGTGTAGTATGGAGGCATTGGCACCCCTGTGGAGCCTGCAAGTATAGCAAGTAGGTTATTCCTTGTTTTGATTTTTAAAGCAGTTTTCTGGAGATGTGATTTAGCACTGGTATTATGCAGATGGAAGACACGTCACACACTCTTTGAAGTATTTGGTTTGAGGTGCCATTTTAGGCAGTACTCTGCCATCAGTCTCATATCTCCATCAAGTATGAGTTCCACTTTTGAGAAGTCATGGGCTTGGGTGAGAAAGGTACTGTCCTAGGGTGGTCATAGGAAAAGCTGATAACCAGGTAGGAGAGGCCAGTGTTCAGGCAGAAGACATTGGGGGGAACAGTTATTACCCACTAACATCAAGAAGGTGATGTATTTTGAAATAGCATAGGCACAGGCAGGCATGCTTCCCCCAACCACCCTGCTGAGATGCTTAAACCAGGACCTAGAGGGAGAGTTGGCTTCCCCGCATGCAGCCTTGCTCATTACTCTTGGCCCATTCAAGTTCTGATCTCTTCAAGACAGCTCAGAAAAGAGTCTTCTCAGCAGCAGTTGCGGGGTGATAAAAGGCACCTGTCTTCAGTGCTAGACAGTCTCAGACACCCACTGTCACATCTGCCCCTCACTTTGACCTTGTGAATTTTTATTCTGCAAAAAAGACTACACTTTGGAGGAAAAATTAGACCAGCAGCACAATTCTACCACTAGCTTTCGACTGTGCAGTTTTCCTTGTTGCAACAAAATACGTGGAGCTTCTACTCTGGAACAAATTGCAGATTTTTATCCTGAGTGGAAATGTTTGTATTCAACAGAGGCTCTACTC